CGCTAACCATTCCTATTGAGATCTGAGGCCGAGTTTTGCGTGCATATCATACTCCCACGTTACGTTTGTTATGAACGTATCTCAAATACATTTATTTTCTACATATCTTCTAGAAACATATTTTCCCCCACGTTACGTTTGTTATGAACGTATCTTAAATACGTTTATTTTCTACATATCTTTGCCATTTATTGTCTTGCTTATAATAATTATAATAGTCATATATAAATATCATTTTAGAGCACACATTTGAAATCGACAATCGGGCTTGATATATGGTTAAATTAAAATCTGTTATTTTACTCAACAATAACACACAATTATCCTTGTTTTTACTTATTCGTTTAATTCTATAATCTTGGGCTTTTTAGCATGCTTTTTAGCCGTAAATAAAGTCACCGGAAACAGACGTAGGCCTATAAGGGACATTTTGAGCGATACACACCACAAACCCACTGAGCTGATTACCCAAGATCCTCAGCTTGAAGCTCGTTGATTGGATGTTTTAGCCGCAATGCACGTTGGGATATGGTGTTAATGCGATATGATATCCGAAAACATTTTTAAAACTTTATTCCGAGTGTTCTTGCTTTTCTCTTTGGAAGTCATCACATAACGCCATTGTAATACACGGTTCGGCTGCATTAAATCTGCCGTAGTTCTTTATTTATAGAGCCCTGATGAGAAGACTTCTGGACAAACTTGAAGAACTGCTGCCAAAACTGAATATGTGACTTGGATCATAAATATATCAACAATTAAACAACATCTTACATTTATTTTCACAAAATATGTCTCCTTGCAGTATCAAAATTAATTCGGCTGACTTTTATATTTGATCCAATTGGTAGATAGATAGTTATATTTACTCCATAGCGGTGCACAGCTGATATAAAAGGACTTGTAGTTTTTTAAAGATATTACTGATTTTCTTTGAATATAAGAATGTAAATACTGAGTTGAGAGAATAGTCAGGGGATTTGGGTGATGGGAGACACATCTATGGAATCACAATTGAAATAGCTTACCATTAAATGACGGATATACCTTTCTGTCTGTGATGTTTTACAAATCAGATCTTAATGTGTAGAAGTAAAACATGAGAAATACTATAGCAATATCCTGTAAAACTATGTAAAAACATGAATAAAACTACACATCTTCAGATGTTATACATACATAAGTGTCCTACACTAATAATACAAAGTTATGATTAGTATGCTGTGTGTAGTGTGCACCACCTAGTGGTTAAAGCACGTTATTGAATAGTTTTTGTTGAATAATATTTTAAAGTCCCATGTCATGGCCATTTCCACTGATCATAATTTCATTGTTGAGGTCTACTAGAATAGATTTATACTGTGCAATTTTTTCAAACTCACATTGGTAAAGTATGTGTATTCAGCAGTATTCACTCTCTCCACTAAATGGCTCGTTGCAGCTCTTGCCCCCCCCCCCCCCCTCCCTGTGAGCCCAATGTGCTCCGATTGGTCGGGACCAGTCGGGACGTTGTGAATCGCACTGAGCTCCGTGGAGGTGTGATTTCCTTGTTTAGCGATACACAGCGAAACACAGCCAAACTCACCCTGAGCACACACAAAGTCACAGCCGAAGTAAAAACAATAAGTGTGGCTTGATATTGAGTAAGAAAAAGGTTGATAAACGCTGTGAGAATGGGTCTGCAGAGAGACTGTTGCCGCGATCCCAACTGTCTGTTATCAGCCTGCAGCCAGGGAGGAGAAATCAGCAGAGCTGCCTGCACTGAGTGTGTGAGGAAGTCCGTGGATTGGTCAATTTGGACCAATCAGCGGGGGCTTAACGTAACGGCTCCGCGGACGTAACATAACGGCTCCACGGATTGGTCCATTCGTTCCGGGGACGACATGACATCATGATGTACCCAGAAGAATCAAATGGACAGTGACGTATCTCCAACGAGGTGTTTTGGGGAGGTATTTTCTGTGTTAGAGTTTACTCGCTACATGGTGTACTTTGAGGGTTTTGACTCTGCACACCATTCACATGCATAAAAACCTTCATAACACACAAGGGGACGGGTAATAACCGGAAAAGCTTCACCTTTAACTGATATTATACACATTAATTATACTCTTATGTATGTAGATAGAATAAGAAATGTGCAGAATATGACAGTTTAATGGTGGAGGTATACACACATATTGATAGATGTCTTGTAATGCACTGTTGAGGAACCTGTGACCCAAGTTTTTCATTCATTGCATAACTACACCGTAGTTGTGTTTATGATATGTCAATAAACCTTAGAAAATCTTGAAATCTTGAAAGGGATGTGCAAAATAGCCATTATATACAGTTTTTAATGAACTATTAGTAGAGAATAACGAGCAATTAATATACTTTATAGAGATCTGCAGATACATGTTTAGTCTTCTCAAGCACCAACTATCAAATATCTCTCCTGATTGTTGGCACTTGACAATCACCTTTCCCTGAATTTTACTCAGGTGTAACTAAAGTCTGCTTTAAGGGTTGTTTATATTTCACATCATTAATCAGAATCTGCAAAGTAACTAAAATAAATGTAATGGAGTAAAAATACCAGGTTAACCTCTGAATTGTAGTGGAGTAGAATTACAAAGTATGAGCTGTCATGTGGGTATATATTAATGTTGCCCATTATGGGCACAAGCGATTTTCATCCATTTATTAATTACATGTTTTAAATGTGTACACACCAATTTGTTTTCTATCGCCTAAACCTCCAGGGCGGTACCCAGTTTAATACTGTCAACTTCTAATTTTGGGAAAAACGAAAACGTCTTTTAAAACTACAATTCCCAGCAGAGACGTGCCATTGAACATGTTGCGAAACATGATAGCCAGCATGTGTAGTTCTGGCGGGGCGTTCATGTCCAGTTTTGAATAGTCTGCCGTGGTTTCGTTCCATTTCAAAATGCTGTTTGACGCTCAGCGTAACCTTGGCACTGCCACTCCAACATCCAATCCCAGAGTTTGAAGCTGAGGATCTTGGGTAATCAGTTCAGTGGGTTTGTGGTGTGTATCGCTCGAAATGTCCCTTATAGGCCTACGTCTGTTTCCGGTGACTTTATTTATGGCTAAAAAGCCCAAGATTATAGAATTAAACAAATAAATAAAAACAAGGATAATTGTGTGTTATTGTTAAGTAAATAACAGTGTGTTATTTAAAAAAGAATAACAAATTAGAAGGAAAAAAGATTTTAAAAAATACAGATTTCAGTATTTTGAGGGTCTAAGCCCCATTTATTTTCCTCACAGACGGCAAAATAAGTCAGTCTCTGTGAGGGCCTAAGATATTCTAAAAAATAATATTTGAAAACATTGAAAAAAAACTTTTTTTTAAATATTTTTTAAAATATATTTTTGTTGTTACATTTTTCATTAGTTTTACCAAAATAACTTGATTTAATTGTATTCAAAATAATATTTCCAAAGAAATAAATCCTTCGAATCTGCCTGTTCAGTTTCTGTTGGAATGTGAAGGGTTAAATGCCGTCTCTGCGAGTTATGTGAAGACGGGAGGGCTTGTTGTATGGAATGCCATTTAAGCCAAAATTAAATAAATACATAAATAAATACATATATATATAAATATGCCTATGAAATACATTCTTGAAATAAATAAATGAGGCAATAAATATGTATACATGTACATTTAAATACACATTTATTTATTTCATGGGACTTTTATTTCATAATGACACATTTATTTATTTCAAGAGACTTTTATTTCATAATGACACATTTATTTATTTCAAGAGACTTGTATTTCATAATGACACATTTATTTATTTCAAGAGACTCGTATTTCATAATGACATATTTATTTATTTCAGATGACTTGTATTTCATAATGACGCATTTATTTATTTCAGGTGACTTGTATTTCATGATGAGACATTTCCATTCCTTATATGCAAATGAACGGGGCGTGGTTAGCTCACAGATCCAGACCAAAGCAACAGCACCACAACACTGACTCAATAGCTTTTGTTTCACACTCCAGTACTCTTAAGTGGTTTGCAAACTGCCAATAAACCAAACTGGTTCAAGAACCATTCTTGTGCTTTTCTGGTGCTTAACTGGTTCTTCTCTGGTCTTATCTGGTCCGCCCAATGCTGCTCTTCTGAGAGCAACCGCTCTGACAGCTCTCTCTAGTCTCTACTGGGAAACAGCTAAAAGTCCTTCTGGAGGTAAGCAACGCTACATAATTACACCCAGTCTGAGAGGAAAATATGTCTCGAAGGTTCGTTTTGCTTTCTTACAACGTTAAGTTAATGTTAATGTAACCTTAAGTTTGCTAGGAAGCTATTGTTACGAGCTAGCTGTCTTAGCTAACAACAGTTAGCAGCTAACGTTTTCTGCAGTTTGTGTTGCCCCTGAAAAACGTAGTTATTTAAGGGTATGTTAAATTAACGTTATTTTACAAGTTGAGAGAGTTAAGTTGTGTTTAAAATCGTCAATGTAATGCACGTTAGAGGTTTTTAGTTGGACATGAAGTTAGCTTACGTTAGCTAACTCTACCAGGTTAGCATGTTAAGCTGTACTTTCTGTGGCAGCTAGCTTAATACAAAGAGGGGTTTTGTGCTTCATTCCAAACTTTTCTTTGTTAATCTACCTGAAACTGTAGGGACAGTTTGTTTCTACTCAACTATACAGACCATTGTTGAGGAGATGCAAAACATACTGTACATGAGTTGGGTCCTACATATACCTTGAGTAATGTTACTTTGCTGCTAAAAATGAAACATCATTATCAGATGAGGACATCACCAAAGTGTGTGAGTCTGTCAGGGGATTTGATCTGTTCTCTGCATGTCGTACACACTGCTCTGGTATTACTTATCTTGTCAAATGTAAGTCTCGCTCTTGTCATCGTTCAGGCTTTGCATTTGAACTCCTATGACTGGTTGCGGACTTGAAGGGAACGCATTCCTGGCCTTCCTGACATCCAGAAAAAAGGTGAGATTCTAATACATTTGAATGCCAAAAGCAAGTTATTGTTTTTAACTTTTTAAATATGATTGTTTTGGGGCATTTCAGTTTTATTGGACAGAGGCAGTAGATATCTACTGGAAACAGTGGAGAGGGAGGAGATGATATGCAGCAAAAGGCCCAGCCGGATGGTTGCTGCTCCGTGTGGAACGTGTTCTATCAGGTGAAGCACTTTGGTACCCAGTTATTTATGGTATGGAGTTTGAATTTAGCCTTTGGAAGGTAATTTCCAACAGTGCATTGTAAAGACTGAAAGATGTAAAGCTTGACATGATTTCGTCTTTTACTTAAGAAGATGTTTGTCCTCCTGTCTTCTCTTATTTCCTTATCTTTCTTTCAGGTGTAACATCTACCAATGGTTGTACATGACAGAGACCTCCTCCACCTCTTTGCTGTCTTACTAGTCAATCCTTCTGATCAGGTCCTTTCCTAAATAGTGGTAAGTTTTACAGTTCAGTGTACGTTAATTTAGCAACTTAATGCATTACCGCTGTTGAATAAATCCTATATTGCTAGTCATTTTATTAAAACTACGATTTGTATACTTTTTGATTCCAATTACAATACTCTTTTTGTTATAATTGTAATTGTAATTGTATATCTTAACATCCATCAGCAATCAATAAAACAAATCATCCAACACTAAATAGAAGAAATCTGGACATATTTCTTTTATACAGCAGCATGTTTTGGGACTGCTCATTGATGTCATCAAGAGCCATTGAGTCTACCTTTTGTAGTCGGCCTCTCAGAATGTTTATCATTTATTTGTATCTTAACATTCCTATAATCATTAGTTTTTTTATTGTTGATATTGTTTTGTTCTTTATTTTTGTTGTGAGAATCACTTTGCAATTATTGTGTAAGTGCTATATAAATAGTTATACTAATATTATTGTTGTTACCATCATTACTATTATTAATAATGTCTTCTTTGTTTTCTTTATTTATCGCTGCAGAAAGGATCATGCCAGCCCACATCAAACACCTGATCAAGAACTTATGAACCTCACTGCTGCGGACACCTGTGTGATATTCCACTCTGACTGAAACCCTGAAAATGACCTGCAGGTACGATATATATATCTGCTCTGTCTGTCCTAAAGATAGTTCAATAGGGCTACAACAACAACAACAGTCTTTCCGTTTATTCCCTCGGTTCTTTAAGTGTATATTATTTTCCCATTTAATGCTTAAAAACGTTGAACAGCGGCTGCACATGATGCTCTTTTGACCCCTCTTTTAATTTTTTATTTCAGGCTCAAGCTCGGTGTCATCGTTTTGGCCAGTCTAAGGCGGTGAAGGTGTACCGTCTGATCACTAGAAACTATGAGAGGGAAATGCTGGATAAAGCTAGTCTGAAGCTCGGGCTGGACCGTGCCGTCCTGCAGAGCATGAGTGGGAACAAAGAAGGTAACAACAACGGGGTGAGAAAAAGAAAATCTGTCATATTTCTAGATGCCAAGTCATTTTTGGGTCAGTCGCTGTTGCAGTACGCTTAGTTTATTTTCAAAAAGAGTTTTCTAAATCCACTTGTGTAAATGTCTCTCTGCGTCGCCTTTAGCCGGTCCAGCAGTTCTCCAAGAAGGAGATCGAGGACCTGCTGAGGAAAGGAGCCTACGCCGCCATCATGGACGAGAACAACGAAGGCAATTGCTAGGAGGACATCGACCAGATCCTGCAGCGAAGACCCACCATCATCACCATCACCAGGTATGTTCTTAGCAGCACTAGCCACTTGCTCTTTGTGAGATACCAAGTACTTGGTTATTTGAAATGTAATATTGATGATGTAATAATTAAAACTAGGGATGGGTACCGAGCCCCAGTATTAACGGGGCCCCGGGGCTGAATTATTAAAGACCGTGGTACCGTTAACGTCCAACGTTATCGATCTTTTTATCGGTACGGGAGACATTTAAAAAATATATGTCATATGTATTATATCTACATAAACATTATATCGCAGTCTTACTGTCGCCAACTCCGTTTCTAATATGCAATAAGACTACAAAGTGCGTCTATGATTTATTTTCGATCTTTCCAATCCAGACGAGAGATCTCTCTCCCCTGTCGGTGTGCGAGGGGGTGGGGCAGTTTACACACAGAACCTGCTAAATGCATGCAACACACACACACACACACACACACACACACACACACACACACACACACACACACACACACACACACACACACACACACACACACACACGTGCGCACACAAACACATGGCGGAGAGAACTAAGCGCCCCGAGGGTAGTTATGTTACCCGTCTTGAGCATGGATGTATAATAATAACTGGATACAGCGTCGGAGGAGGAGGGGCCTCGTTCTTTCCTATGAGAGCTGCTCATTGGCGCATGAAGTCAAAATGGCGAAACGTCACAGATTACCCGTCATGCCTGGCTGTCAGAGCAGAAGAACCCGTTTGTGCGCTCACAGAGCATGCGCCCCTTAAGCCCCCGCCCCCCGAGCACACACTCTCGGCTCACTAGAAATAATGGAGAGAGAGAATAAATCTAGATTCGGCTTTTAGTGCATTTTACAACTTTAAGGACTTAATGATTCTAGGGCTATACAATAGTTCATACTGGGTAGTTTATTTCGTTTCAAAAAAATTATCCACCGAGTTACAGACGTCTCTTTCTCCATGTTAGTCAATGGGAAAAAGTATTTCTGGGCCGGTCGACGTCACAGACTGATAAGGAAATTGTAGTACCGCCGTTTGGACACAACGAATATTTTCCTCAGAGTCCGGCACACTTCCTGGGGGCTTGGTCTTGAGGTGGAAAATGCTTGTTGCCAAAAGTGCAATAAGAATGTAGCATGTAAGGGTGGTAACACAAGCTATTTGTCTAAACATTTAGCAAAAGTGCACCACATTCAGACGGAGGAATGCACCGGGTTCGACTGTCTTTCTAGTAGCTCTGTAGCCCCATCCACGAGTAACGTTTCCACGTCAGGTATATATTATGTATGCGAGCAGCAACACACAGAGTTAACTCAATGATACAAACATGGGTTAATGATTAGAGGTAACTGAGTTATTTATTTTGTTAAAGTTACAGCTATTCTGTTTGCAGTTCTATCATCACATAATTGAATACGATTTGTTAAAACATTGTTGTTTCTTATTTTCAGTTTGCTTCAAGCAGTGGCTGTACGAGAACGACGTGGAGGACCAAGAAATGCTGGCCAGATTGGCAAAGACCGGAAGATACATAACAGAGAAGATAATGGATATTAACAAGAAAAAGAAAAAAAATGTTTATAATTTCTTTGTTGCTGTTTACATTTTGAATTATATTTGTTATTTTTAAATAAAATGCATCTATTTTAGATGATATATTTATTTAGATGTAGGTTTTTTTTGTAATATTATTGTATTAAGTATAATTTATTAAATAAAAATACTGTTATGAATGTTATGGAAATAATTATCATAGACGCCAAGATGTGACATACAGGACAAACCTTGATGTCTGTTTACCTCCTTTAAGGACACAGGCTGTTTCAGCCAATAATGTCTTTGTTCCCATTCTGTGACCGGTCAATACTGGGTCACAGATGGTCTGTATTGTGGGTACACTGGGACACTTCCTTCTCTGTTGTCTGAGGACTCCAGGGCATGACATATCCAAGGCCATAAGTGGCGGAAGCTGGTAACTTAGTGTGCCCAAACTATCTAAAGCTATCTTATCAAAACATGTTGATGACTCTCTGTGGAACCAGTTAAATGGGCTGGCAAGAGAGAGGCTCTCCAGAATTGACGTGGCAACTCTACCGTGAAGTCAGAACCTCTGGCTCTTGGACTTGTGATGTGAATCCTCCGGCCGTAACTCCAAATAAACCATCAGTGTTTGACATCAAAGCTACTGCTCCTACCGTGTCTCCTTCCTGAGTCGGTGACTCCCACTGCATTGCTACACAGAAGTTTCCTCTACAAATTGGCGTTGTCAGCAGGATGCCAACAGATCTTCAGATTCTGGTAAGTGTGATTTTCAAATCTACATTTGAATTGCCTTACCAGAGTCTGTGATTGACGGTATCCTAAAATTACCTGTGAAGCTGATCAGCTGCGTTTCCTTTTGGTTAATGAACATTTGGGGATGATAAACCCAGGGAATCAGTGTCTGGGGACTCAGTCCTGGCTGATTTCCTCTGTGTGTGCTGCTCGGGACGGAAGTGCCATACAAGCATACACAGCTCATGTTTAGAGATACCTTAAAGAAAGGCATCAGTGAAGTGGAGCTTCTGTGCGAATTGAAAGCAATGTAAAAGATTTGTACTGGACAAATCGCCGGATTTTGAGGGTCTTAGTGGCCGAACATAGCAGTTGAAAATAAGCAGCCAGAGATATTTACTGCTATCACCTCTCTGTAAAAACACGGCTCCAGCTGCAGCCTTGCGTGTGTGTGTGTAAAACCTCCCCGTGTGTGTGTGGGGCTGGAGCAGTGCAGGCTGAGAGGGAGAAAGTCACAGCTTATTGCCTATAGGCTTTAACTCACGGCACCACCGTCCATCAAACGGGACGGTCTAAAAGCACTCGTTGTTTAGGACCACTTTCTCATGGTTAGACGGGCCAGCGCGAAGTGCGTGCACTCCCGATGCACCACGGTTCTCTGGAACAGGGGCGGTCAGGAGTGCATACATAAAATGATAGGCTAATTGATCAGAGGTGTGTAGTGGCAAGCAAGCATAGGCAAACTGTGTTTCACCTTGAGGTGAACTCGATAGCAAGTATATATAGGCTGGTCGTACGGACTACAGTCAACTGAGCTGTTGTTTGGAGAGAAAGGGCAGGGAAAAAGTCTGTGGGTTCCGATCGGGGGGGCACAGCGCCACTAGAAACAAATAGCCTAGTGGTTGTCGCAAGAGGATAAGCTAGTTATCGCTCTTGGACGGCTTTCAGGCACCGATAAATCACTTGTATACAAGGGTGAGGCGTGAGAAGACGCCCCACTGGAGAGAATTCCCCACCCCCTCTAAGATCTCTTAAATCCGGACTAAATTGAGCTGGATGAGCTTTGCTGTCGCGCTGGTGTTTATTACGAGTTCATGTTTTGTTTGTCTGATTGTTTGTATGAGGGGTCTATATTGGTTTGTCCCGCGCTTCTGTGTATGTTTTGTAACAACTAATAATGAATCAGTCCATAGACAGGGTAAAATTAACTAAACTTTAGTTATCTCACCAAAAGTAAATGACCTGAAAAAAAATAAAAAGTGTTTTTATGTCCTGCCTCTGAGTGTGCAGGGGAAAATGTAAACAAGAAGCATACTGTTTAAATATGGCGCTCTGAGGAAGAGTTTGAGCCAATCAGCACCTCCGTGCTAATCTACAGTATCAGGATGCCTTTACACACACCAGACACTCTTTGTCATAAAGAGAGGAGGAGAACGAGTCAGAAAGACTGAAGGACACGTTTTTCCAGCTCTCGTACAAAGATGAACTTTGAATTGATTTTATATCTTGGATGTTTACAGATGTACAATTAATGACTGTCTTTATATTTCCAATGACCAGACATGTGTTGAATAGTGGTGATTAATATATTTTTGCCGGATCAGATTACACTTTCGCACTAAACAAAATTAATTCAGATTATAAAGTATTGAATCATAAGATATTTCTACTATTATCACAGATAATGTTAATATCCTTAATCGTCCAGCAATCAGGCTTAACAACACTACTCTTTAATGTATTATCCATGCACAGAAAGACCTACAATGATGTTTCAAGTACTGGATGGCCCAAAACTAATATTTATAATATTTCATATAACAATTATGTAGCATATTTGATCCTCAAATTAGAGAAGTATAATTTAAAGAAATTGATATTCTATATTCAACATTGGATAAACACAGAAGAATCCTTTCCAAGTACCATAAGTAGATGCTCAGGTAAGTATGGCTAATAGGAATAATTGATAGACTTAATTTGGTACAGATCAGTGGTAGCATTTACAAATGTAATAATTCACGTTTTAAG